ACATAAAATGATGCATCGGATTTTTATTTCGATGACCGGTGTTGCCATGGTTACTAAAAATAGAATTTTCTGTGAAATTCCTTTAAAATGCTACTCCTCCTACAGTTTTGATCTGATTTCAATATAACTTGGCACACAAGTAGACTACACTAAGATACATAAAATAGTGCATCGGTTTTTGATTTCGATGAATGGTGTTGCCATGGTTACTAAAAATAGAATTTTCTGTGAAATTCCTTTAAAACACTACTCCTCCTACAATTTTGATCTGATTTCAATATAACTTGGCACACAAGTAGACTACACTAAGATACATAGAATAGTGCATCGGTTTTTGATTTCGATGAACAGTGTTGCCATGGTTACTAAAAATAGAATTTCCTGTGAAATTCCTTTAAAATGCTATTCCTCCTACAGTTTTGATCTGATTTCGATATAACTTGGCACAAAAGTAGACTACACAAAGATACATAAAATAGGGCATCGGATTTTGATTTCGATGAACGATGTTGTCATGGTTTCTAAAAATAGAATTTTCTGTGAAATTCCTTTAAAACATTACTCCTCCTACAATTTTGATCTGATTTCAATATGACTTGGCACACAAGTAGACTACATAAAGATACATAAAATAGTGCATCCATTTTTGATTTCAATGAATGGTGTTGTCATGGTTAATAAAAAAAGAATTTTCTGTGAAATTCCTTTAAAACTCTACTCCTCCTATAATTTTGATCTGATTTCAATATAACTTGGCACACAAGTAGTCTACACTATTATACATAGAATAGTGCATCAGATTTTGATTTCGATGAACGGTGTTGCCATGGTTACCTAAAAAAAGAATTTCCTGTGAAATTCCTTTAAAACGCTACTCCTCCTACAGTTTTGGTCTGATTGCAATATAACTTGGCACACAAGTAGACTACTCTAAGATAGAGTAGTTCATCGGTTTTTGATTTTGATGAACAGTGTTGCCATTGTTACTAAAAATAGAAATGTGTGAAATTCCTTTAAAACGCTACTCCTTCTACAGTTTTGGTCTAATAGCAATGGCTTCTTTTTCTCATCCTTTGTTATAAGCACAAACCAGTAGAGCTACAGTCTCAACAGAGACTTCTGGTTTTAAGGAACAGAATTCTTAAGTACCTACAGCATTCAGTCTCACCTAGTATAAAAATAATGGAGTACTGGTTTGGAGGATTTAAAACAGAGAAGCTCACTTTTTCATAGTACAATTCTCAGTTAACCTTGGACTTTCAGTAAGGCATAGCATTCTCAACGGTACATAATTAGGTTCTGAAATTTACACATCTATTCTTCACTGTTGAAATATACATGGGATACAAATTCGGCGGAATGTCAACAAGTGTAGCAAATAGCCAATGACAGCGTTTTGTATGGCAAAGAGGTGGGGCTTAAGTCGTCTCATCAACAACAGTTAAAAGTTCTTGATGTTAGTAATTTCTTAAACCTTGCCATTTGACAGATGCTAATTACGAAGCACTGAGAATGCCACGCCTTACTAAAAGTCCAAGGGTAACTGAGAATTGTACTATCTCATTCTCTATTTGTTAAAATTGAGACTGAGAACGAGATCCAAGGTGAGCTCATCTCAGTTTTATGGCCCTGAACCCAGGACAGATGATAGATTGCAACAGAGAAATGTTGCCTTCCTTTTTGGGAAGCATCAAGTCCATAGATCTGAATACTATATTTCATGTAAATTAATTCAATCAGATTCATGAAGAAGCATTCGTTAAAAATATTATTACCCACTATATAAAGAAGCCATGCCCTCCAGCAGAGCAACGGTAAACATTGCTTGACGCCAGGTAATATCCCAAAAGTATACAGTGTAGTTGCACGTGGTTGACAGTGTTTTCCTGGGATGAAAATTTTCAATGTCACACTCAGCTACATACAATATTTATACGTTTACAATAGGGTTACGCCTCATTATTATTGTACTAGATAGGGCCAATAAAATCTTGGAGATATCTGAGAATTCAACATATCAAGGGTAAAATACATAAAGAATAAGTGGTTTGGACTTCCAAAGTACTTCGACACGTCCACGTATTTGAGATTTCAGTGTTCGAGATTCTGAAGTTCCAACAGTTTTTCTAAAAAAAAAAATCAGTTCCGGACTGCTGAAACTATGATTGATTTTATTTTGGATTATTCAGATTAGAAATAGCCTAGCTTTCAAAATCCTTCTCCTGCGATAACTTTGTTCCGTTTTGATTTTTATTTGTAGACAAGTACAATAAAACCAGATATATGTATTTAGTTCTGTTTTTCAGTTCCTGATTTTAAGAATAGACTAAGCACGGTTATTAAAATTGTACAATATTAAAATGTTTTGTTACTGTTGCAACAGTTTTAGTCTAAAGGTGTCGCCATGGATACTTTATTTTTTAGCTCTACTGGTCAGAGACCAGAAGAGCTTATGCGATAGTAATGCGTCCGTCGTCCGTCCGTCTGTCTGTCCGTCTGTAAACAATTTTTCAAAATGCTACTCCTCCTACAGTTTTGGTCTGATTTCAATATAACTTGGCACACAAGTAGACTACACTAAGATACATAAATCTGTGTATCGGTTTTTGATTTCGATGAACGGTGTTGCCGTGGTTACTAAAAATAGAAATTTCTGTGAAATTCTTTCAAAATGCTACTCCTCCTACAGTTTTAGTCTGATTTCAATATAACTTGGCACACAAGTAGACTACACTAAGATACATAATTCTGTATATCGGTTTTTGATTTCGATGAACGGTGTTGCCATGGTTACTAAAAATAGAAATTTCTGTGAAATTCTTTCAAAATGCTACTCCTCCTACAGTTTTAGTCTGATTTCAATATAACTTGGCACACAAGTAGACTACACTAAGATACACAATTCTGTGTATCGGTTTTTGATTTCGATGAACGGTGTTGCCGTGGTTACTAAAAATAGAAATTTCTGTGAAATTCTTTCAAAATGCTACTCCTCCTACAGTTTTAGTCTGATTTCAATATAACTTGGCACACAAGTAGACTACACTAAGATACACAATTCTTTATATCGGTTTTTGATTTCGATGAACGGTGTTGCCGTGGTTACTAAAAATAGAAATTTCTGTGAAATTCTTTCAAAATGCTACTCCTCCTACAGTTTTAGTCTGATTTCAGTATAACTTGGCACACAAGTAGACTACACTAAGATACACAATTCTGTGTATCGGTTTTTGATTTCGATGAACGGTGTTGCCATGGTTACTAAAAATAGAAATTTCTGTGAAATTCTTTCAAAATGCTACTCCTTCTACAGTTTTAGTCTGATTTCAGTATAACTTGGCACACAAGTACTCTACAATAAGATACATAATTCTGTTTATCGGTTTTTGATTTCGATGAACGGTGTTGCCGTGGTTACTAAAAATAGAAATTTCTGTGAAATTCTTTCAAAATGCTACTCCAAATACAATTTTAGTCTGATTATAATATAGATGTGGCATGCAAGTCAACATTGAGGGATTACACCAATGTTATAACACCAGCCACTGGCTTTCAACCATGTGTATTTGAGGTATGTTTTGTGGAAGTACTGAAGATATGACAATAAGGCATCACTAACCAAAAAATATATGATTTTCTTTCAGTAGTACTTAGAATATCTCCAGTGTACTGCACATCAAAAAAGGAGGTGTAATAAAAATGGCCTATGCATATACAGTTCTTTATTGTTATGTTAAATTGTTATTCAGGAACTTACAAAGATGGCCAAAGACCTCCCTCCAGAGAAAAGGTATGTGGCACTCCTCCATGACGAAATGAAAGTGAAGGCTGACTTAGTTTATGACAAAAGGAGCGGGCAAATAATTGGATTTACCAACCCAGAAACTTGGACATTCAATGAGGTATTAATGTAGTATTACAATTGTTTTAAGAAATGGATTTTAGCAAAATAGATTAGATTCTACAATTCTTCAGAACTTTGAATAAATTCATTTAATATTTCCCTCTTTTGAGTAGGATGAAGTTAGTAAAATCGCTACCCATGTCTTGGTTTTTATGGTGGTTGGCATTAACTCTCATATTAAAATGAGCATTGGACATTTCCCAACCCGGACATCAACAGCGGATGAGCTGTATCCATTGTTTTGGAGAGCTGTGGCTTACCTGGAAATAACATGTGGACTAAAGGTAAACAGTTTAATACTACTGAAATTTTTAGTTTTTCCATCAGCCTTTTATACAGTCTAAATTATTAAGAAATATTTTTTCACTGCCAAATCATAAAAATATTTTCATTTTGTGCAGGTAATCACATCTACTAGTGACAAGGCCTCCCCAAATCAGCGTTTGTACAGGCTTCACAGAGTTGGAAATGAGCCAGTTGTTTATAAAGCTAAGAATGAATTCGCAGAAGATGAAGAACGCTACCTCTACTTCATATCAGATGTTCCCCATTTAGTTAAGACTATACGAAATAACATCAGCAAGTCAAAGCCAGGTGGAACAAAGTATCTCTGGGTATGTTTATGTCCTCAATCATGTTGAAGTTAAAACTGTTTTCTATGGCTTGTCTTTCTCTTTAAGTTTTATGGCATTTGATATGTATGTATAATTATGTTGTATTATCTATTTTCATCTGTGATGTTAAAAAAATAATATATTTTACAGAATAACAACAAGAACATTCTTTGGTCTCATGTGACACAGTTATATAACGATGATATGGCAAGACAGTTATACAGAACCAAGCTAACATATGACCATGTCTACTTGACACCATCATCAACAATGTCTGTTAAACTTGCAGTTCAGGTAATCATGTAATTCTATCATATTAATGTATTATTATTTTATTTAAGGGAAATTATATAAAAAAAAAGTTTTTGAGTAATTTGTGCAAAGGGCTTATACAGGCAATGTCTGCTGCCCTATTTAATTGATTATTCAGTAAAATATTGTTCAAGTGAGCATTTGGAAGTAGTTACCATTTTATGTATCAATGCACGTGAATTTTTCTAGGTGCTGAGCAGTTCTGTGGCCAGAGTTATGGAAGCCTACTATGGACCACAGATGTCAGAAACTGCCACGCTGTTCAAGCTTGTGGACAGATTTTTTGACTGTCTAAATGGTAGATCATTGAAGGAATCAGCTTTCACAAGAAAGCCTGATGTTGCTCCTTACAAATCTCTTAATGACCCAAGATTTCAGGTAAAATCATTTCTTTACATAAAATAACATAAAAATGTAATTTCTGATTATCTATAGTATGTATATCTTTTTGTTTTGAACAACAATTTGCAGTTCCTTGAGCATGAGTTCCTACAGTACTTTGAGCGATGGCTACAAGCTGTTAGGGCTAGACCAGGATTCACCAAGGCAGAACAGAACAAAATGTTCATTTCATTTCAAACTCATGAAGGAATAATTATGACAGGCAAGTGCAGTAGCCATTTTCAAATATTATATCATGTTAAATTGATTCAGTTGCCCCTATTTTAATTACTCATCCAGGTCTTTCTTTTTTTCCTCATATTAATCAATAATCTATAATTTTTTTCCCAGTGAAAGCATTCGTTGAGGCCACGAAGTACCTCCTGCAACATAACCTGCCGTATGTGCTGAGCAACGATTTTTGCCAGGACCCCCTAGAGGAGCATTTTGGAAGGCATAGGAGATTGGGGGCAAACCAGGACAACCCAACTGTTCACCAGTTTAGGTATTGTTTATTTTTACTAAAACAATGATTATAACATCTAAAATAAATGAAAATTCTTCACAAATTTATCAATTAAAGATTTTATTGCTTTTATCACATTGTTACTTTTCTATTTATAAAGTTACCAAGAAAACAAACTGCGACTTCAAAGAAGCCTCGCCTTTCAATTTGTTCCTAAGGGCAACACTGGTCCACAAGGACAGAAGAGACCAGTGGTTGTATCTAACAGTCCACTTAAGAAAAGACGTAACTAACATCTTTAGATGTAAAATTAATGTGGAATTCTTTTTCTATGTACATATTTAGATTTAGTCTAGACATTTACGAAGGGCTTTTTGTTTACTTGCAGATTTTGTTTTCACATAGTACTTTTCCATAAGATGTCTACATTTTGCATTGCATCTAACTTTGTGATATAATGAGCACATTGATAAAAATATCTTTTCCTGCTGTTCAGTTTTTGACTCTGAGTGATATGTACAATCATAGAACAGGGACATCACTTTGTTGTCTTGACAAATTGCATCACTAAATTTCTGAAGCGAAGGAACTGAGACTTCTGTACACAATTTCCTAAACAATATTTCCAGAACTACAAAGAAATTTGTTATTTCTTGTGATGGTTGTGTCAAACCACCCCTGGATTTTACAGATATTAATTTTGTATTTCCATCCTTCTCAGTAAGTTTATCAAAGTATTTGGCCATCTCTTGAGAAGAAATAAATTTCTTCTTACATCTAAATAAAACGAAGCCAGCTATATATGTAATAATATCTCTCTCTCCAGATTTGAGAACACTACCTGTGCTAGCAATTGAGGTAGAATCTGGCAAAGGTGTATTTTGTTTAATAACTTCTTCAGCAGTTTTTAAAGATAAAAATGCTGAAAGTTGTTGATTTTTTACTACACTGGATAGTCTTTGAATCAGTTCAGGTTGGAGATGATGATATGATTGCCATGCCTTTTCCCTTACTGCACCAGAGAAGATTTCTGTTTTTATGATTGTGTCAAGTTGCCTTAGAGCTGGAACCAACTTGGAAGCTGTAATGTATTTGTACTGTAACTCAGATTTAAACAAATTCCTCATTGTATTAAACTTTATTTTTTGATGAGGTCATGATTTGTTTATTTATTTTTTTTAATAATTCAATATTCATTTAATTGCTGTTAAATTGTTTATGCAACAGTCTGTAAATTCAATATTGTCTTTAAATCACTTTTGCAATAATTTATAAATTCAGTATTATCATTTAGCCATGTTTGAAATAATTTGTAAATTCAAAACTGTCATTAAATCACTTGTAATTATTTATCAATTCAACAAAGACGTGTTATTGTAATTAAAAAGAGAATTAAACAGTCACAAGTAAAAGAATACAGATTCTTGAGGCTTGGAAGATTGCAACATAATTTGCTCTGACTTGTTTTTCCCCCACTTACTAGTATATGAGTACATTTACCACTAGCATCATACATTGCAGACCATTTTCTATCAAGTTATCTGTAATCCAGACTCAAAATGTTGTAATAAAAATGCAGTCAGTGATTAAGTACAGAAGTGACTGATCAAATATACAGCCAAACTTTTGCACTTTTCTCAACTACCACAAGTAAAAAGTGCATTCATGAAACCTGGAACAAAATAACTTTCAAATATTATTAATGATAGAGAACAATATAAAGAAGAAAATTTTAAGGTTGCATTGAGACATTTACCACTTATGGTTCCCAAATGAGACCTCATTTCCTCTGGCAAGATGATGTCATTCTGAATTTCAGAAATGACTTTAGAGACCATTTCTTCAGAGATGATTACAGTTTTATTGGGTAAAACTGGCAATGAGACAGAGTGCTCCTCTAGAATTTCTTCTTCAAATATTGCCTTCAAATAGTGATGAACACCACAAATTAGAATGTAAAGTGATTAAATCCACACATCAGTTGGAACTAGAAGTAGAATAGCTAAATCTGGTGATTGTTCCAAATCTGTCTATAGATTCTCCCCTTTTAAGTTGCTATTGTTACCATGTGCAAAAATGATTTTTCTAACTAAACATCAAATAAAAACAACCTTCAACTACAGGTGTGTGTGGGGTGGGGTGGGTAAGTGGCTTACTTTTTTCAAGGATAACTTCCTTTCACTTTCAATTTTTTGCATACAATACTACATGTTCTTGATATAGCTATACTGAGGTAAAAGGGGGGGGGGCAACCAACCGGTAATGTTGAAAAAAAAGTGCCCCCCCCCGTTGCTACGTGCCTGATAAAGACAGAAAATTAATACAACAAATATATAGAAATAGATTGATATTTAGTAGTTTTTCATTAAATTTATAAACCCTCGTAACACATATTGACACAATCATAACAGGAATATGAAGAGTTAAATCTAGCGCAGACTGTTTATCAAGTGTATTGACTACATAAGAGTGTATGTATTTCCCTGTCCTCTTTTATATATATAGATCCCTGACTACCTTTAGCTGTCAGAGCATTGGGGGGGGGGGGGGGCTTATGGACCCGCCGCTTGGCGAGAACGTCTTGCGTATTCATCAACCACACACAAGTTGTGTCACAACATATCAATAGTTAAGTTTAGTGTGTTATACTGCTGTTTTTGTATAAAATATAGACTCTAGATTTTCGATTAAGGTATAAATACTTGTTGAAATCATATATCAAATTTCAAACCTCTAAAACATCACTCAGATCTTCTCCAAGATCGTCCAATAAAGCCATATTGGTATTCACTTTCGTATTTATATGTAACAGGAAGTCTTTCTATGACTCCCGGGTGAGGGCGCTGCGAAAACTGGAAGATATTTTGGCGCCAAAACAAGTCAGTGGCAGTTTTTCCTATTAATTTTCCCCTAATTATATATTGTTATACGTCACTGGTTTGATACCAAAATTTTGACGTCTTTTTAAAAATTTCAAGTCATTTGGTTAATTTTCGGCATTTTCCCGAGCATTCGAAATGGGAAAGTGGTAAGCACAACACACGAAAAATGGCGACGTTTTGATGACGTTACGGCGCACCGGAGAGCAGTTCAGTTTGATTTAGATGTTGTAATGACACCTTAAGAGACTTTAAATGACCATAGAAGAAAAGAGATTATAAAAATGTCACCATATCTTACGTATACAAATGAAATAGCAGTTTTCTTAGCAAAGTCTTTTTTGATCGAGTCCCTGGGGAGTACAAAACATACGGACAAACTCCTAATGTAAAAGCAAAAGACGCTGTCAAAGTAGACCGCCGATATGAGATTTTCTGTCAGTTGAATGATGGTGAGAATATTGTCCATAAATTACTGATAAATCTTCAGGAGATCGCATGAGGGTGCCAATTGGTTCTTCAACTGTTTATGGAGACTAAAGAATATGTATCAATGAAATTCCTAAATCTAAGTCGGACTCATCCAACTTCATTTTCAGCAAAGATAAAACGTGACGTTGTGTTAGATACTTTGACGTTATTATCCATGCGCCGTAAGGTGAAACAATACATGGCATAAAATCTCATAATTTTTTTATCTATATATATATATATATATATATATATATATTTTTGTCAAATCCCTTAGCTCTCATTAATTTTGGCTCTGTTTGTTTTTCATAAATCACTCAAAGACAAATTAGAATTGAAAATTATCCGAAATTTGCTATGTATATTACTAAAATATGTACTAAATAATACTGAAAATTTCAGAACGCAGTGATGTTTATTTTTCACACTAGACATTCACAACTTGTCCACGATTTGACGGGACAACCCTCGTATATATACATTTTTTCACATTATGTCTTGTGTGAAAATACATAATGTATTAGTAAGATCATCGATAGAGTAAACGTAAGGAAAAGAACTGAAAAAGCCAGCAATATAAAACATAAAGAAAAACTCACAACTTTAACTGATAAAAGAAAAAAATGTGCTTTATGTGAATTATTTTTTTATATTTAAAAATGTTTTAAACTGAAATGCATTGTGGCCCCCTTTTTTTACCCAAAGATAGACTTGTTTAGGCATTGAACAGTGCAGCGTAGGTGAGTCCCACCCCCTTTTTTACAGACACGTTGCAGTATAGGTAAAAAAAAATGGATTAAGTGGTGGTATTTTGGGGAAAAAATTGGTACTGAAAGAGGTTAGACCCCCCCCCCCCCGGCATTGTCAACACAATTAAATGTCCAATTTGTGGTAAGATATCAAAGACAAGTTAAGGGTGATCTTTGTAAAATTAATATGTGAGCATTTGAAAAGAACAATTCAAATGAAAGCAGCCAAGAGAATGAAGCCAAATTTAACTAAACGTCACCGAATCTAAAATAACTTATCTCTTAACCATCTAAAAGCCATGAAAATCGAGAAGCAAATTTTGAATAAAAAATACGGAAAACAGCGGTTCGAAGAAAGAGAGTGTTTACGCAAATTAGATTCCTTGAGTGTTGGCTTTATTTCACCGATATTTGTATACCAAGGAGATAAGGATTCAATGATTAGTTTTAGACCATACATGTACTTGGAAAAATGCAGGAATCTGTTCATATGTCACTGGTGATCGATGACCCTCATAAGGCAAATCATATTTGAGGATCCCAAAACGTATGAGCGGTTTATTTCGATAACAGGGTAGGTCATGAGGAAATGAATACAGATAATAAGGCAAGAACTCTTGTGGGAAGTTATATATATAAAGAATTTATAAAATCTCAGGTTTACATATCACGAGCTGAAATTTAATTCTTCTTTAAATTCGTTTCGAGTATGCATCGTTTCAAGTCGAGGCAATAGAGGATAAACTACCTTAAATACTATTTGAAATGCACTCACATATGAAAATTCTCCAACCGATGGAATAATTTAATTGATTTTGATCGTGTGAAAAAAAAGATTTGCGCACAAATGTTTGTATTTGTCTTTATCATATGGCCATTTGTAGGTCACCTGAGTAAACTCAGGTGACCTATTGCTATCCGTTTTCGTCCGTCGTCGTTCGTCGTGCGTTAACATTTGAACATTTTCAGCTTCTTCTCTGCAACCACTGAACCAATTTCAACCAAATTTGGCACAAAGCATCTATGGGTGAAGGAAAACAAAAATTGTGAATTTCATGATCCCTGCCCCCCTGGGGCCTGAGGGGTGGGGCCAAAACCACTAAAATTAATGCAATCTTTAAAAATCTTCTTCTTTACTCCTGGACATCAAGCAATCAAACTGTTTGCATGATTGTAATCAGCAATGAGTCCTCTACCAAAATTGTGAAATTCATGGCCCTGGGGTCAGGGGTTCTAGTGCTAGGGCGGGGCTACATAAGTAGGTAGTGAAAATGCATTATTTCTTTGAAAATCTTCTCTGCTCCTGGGTATTAGATAAACCAACAAAGTACATAGTTATGATGAGCAAGAGTGCCTCTACCAAAATTGTGAATTTTATGGCCCCAGGGTCAGGGGTTCTGGTGTTAGGGCGGGGCTCTATTAATTATATAATGAAAATACATTATTTCTTTGAAAATCTTCTTCTCTGCTCCTGGGTATTAAATTAACTAACTAAGTACATAGTTATGATGAGCAAGAGTGCCTCTACCAAAATTGTGAATTTTAGGGCCCCAGGGTCAGGGGTTCTTGTTTTAGGGTGGGGCTCTAATGATTATATAGTGACTTGCATGAATTCTTTGAACATCTTATCCTTTGCTCCTGGTTAATATGCTAATGATCTAATTACATATTTAAGGCCAGGATTGATTTTATTTTCAGTTGTACGAAGCCTCCGCTCTAGGTTTTGAATTTTCATTTTTTTCTTTCCGATGTCAAATATGAGTCGGGATCGAGATTTCAAAGTCACGAACTCGCACTTCCGGTTTTAAGATGAAACGGCGGGTAAATAAAGCTACATCTGAGAAGATAGCTTGGTTTAGTGTAAAATTCATCGATACGAGTGCCATTCAAAACGTTTCACCCGTTCAAAGGACAAATTAAATGCTGACGACTTTGTTGCACAATGACATGCTGGTGAGATAATTATGTATTCGTTTCAAAAGTTTCTGTCTGTAAATTATTTTCCTCCCCCAGGTTTTAAATTGCCCGTGGTAGCTATTGCATATTGCCAGCGACATTGTTTAGGTCTCTGTTATAGCTTACAGTCTAAGCATCCTTCTTCAGATAAGGGTTGCTTATGCATCAGATGTAATGAATAAAACTATGGGAGAAGTTAAGTCCATTTGAGGTCAGAAGAAATGAACAATAACCTGAAGAAATAAAAAAAAATTCAACTATTAAAAGGCAAGAATATACAAATATATACAGGCATGTAATATCATTTGTATCAGCCAGAGAAATTATTTTACACTTAATTGAAAAAATGTTCACCGTACTCCCCAATACTCCCTGTCTGTTTTATGATAGGAATT